TCTCCGCCAATCCCAGCTCTCAGCAACACAAATTTACAACACACAACATTTCATGACCTGCCAGCGGCCACAAAAACGCCTCGAGCAGATAGTCTCTCTTCGGAGATTGCAGCATAGCACTATGCAGATACGCCCCTCCCGCACCCGTTATATACGAGAGCCGAGAAGCCCTTAGTTCCCGGCGTCCCCTTTCCCACGCTCATCAGCTACGCCACGATAACGCCTCCCGCCCATTATCGTCACCGTTAACCGTTACCACTAACACAAACTTTGCCCCGCCATTAGGCTCGACACGTGAAATGAGGGGTCGATCCAGTAGAACACAATCAACCAGGCCCGCACATGCAACGATAAAAGATCGAGACCGTGTTTGTTGTGCGATTATAGATTCTAAGCTCAGCTACTCACCTACCCGGTTTTCGCTTCCTCCCAATTGTCTAAGAGTAATTGCGTGTGTTATATACAAAGATAGATAAGTGAAGACAATTGATTGTATGGCGCAAGAACGAGCCTTTCCATGGTTTGAACGAGACAAGAAAGCGACAAACTCCGTGTATGCAAAGAACGCAATGGAAAGATCGAGTACGCCGGTTGTGTATGCAAAGAGGCTAGAAAATTAACAGGTAAATGGTGTATGTTCAGCTCCAAGTCGCGCTGCATGAGTCTTCGTATATCATCGATCTTTTTCTTCTGGTGTCCCTTTGTTTCTTATTCTCTCTTTCTCTTCCATGGGTGATTATTGTAATGGGTCGATTATTTCTGTCTCAACTGTACAATACGGTATTAATAGTTTCAGTTGACTGCCGCTGCTATCAACCACCACCAAGACTATGGACGGTGTTAGTCTACGTGCTCTTGCCCGCTTCAAACACCTTGTTCATGAACTCGTCCACATCGAGTTCAATCTTCTTCTCGCGAAGTGTCTTTGCAACCTGCGCTGCGTCACCCTCCATGCAGCTGCCTTCCAGTATACTGAGTATAGCGACGGCAGCGCGTGGGACGTTCTTGTCACCCTCGATGGTGTAAATGTCCATGATGCGCGCGGCGTGCTCAACGCCTAGACGACCACAGAACAGTGAGCCGAGGGTGTGGAAGAGGTAATCTCTGGGTTCAACTCGTAGCGTCTCTAGCCGTTGAGCCAGACTGGGCGCTTTCTTCGACAGAACGTGCAGTGTTGTGGAGTAGGCGGCGTGTATGGCGTTTTGGTCGTGGATGAGGAAGGACAGTGGCAACGGGCGGTTGAGCAGATTGGACAGGGTGACGAAGGCTTGCGGCGCGGCAAGGTTCAATAAGAGCAATGCGGCGATGTGATGTATGTCGAAACTTGAGTGTGGGATGTCCGGGCGGTACATCGAATAGGCCAGGCACACATCAACAAGGTCCCGGTGCAGCGGCTGCTCGTCCTCCGCCGCTTGTGACGTTCGTGCGGCGAACATCTTGAGTTCGGGGAATACTGCTTGGGTGCTTTCGACAATGTAGACATAGCGGCCTCCGAGCGCTTCGTGGCCATGTGTCTTCACTTCTTTGCGTGCTTTCTCCAAGGCAATGTTGTAGGTAGCTTCTGTGACCTCGAGGTCGTTTCCAATCGCTTTCTGCCAGACTTGGCCTCGCAACCGTGGGGGGATTCCGTTCCACCACATCTTCCTGTGCGAGGCACGTAACTCGGAGTTGGTCATCTCGGTGGCCCAGTTTGGTAGCAGTAAGCTCGACCAGTATTCAGCCTTGATACGGCTGGCCTTTTCACGAGCCAGCGCCTCCTCTTGCGCGCGTTGAGCCTCGAGACGTTCTGTGATTGTTAGCCATTTATTGTCTCAGATAGAGCCTCGGAAGGCGCAGATAACTTACCGGCTTCCTCGATACGAGCCAACATGCGCTGGTACTCCTTGAGGTGCTTCTTCTCCTCCTTTGGGTTCTTGGGTGGAAGCCATGAAGGTCGGGTGCGCGAGAGGTACTTCTGCTTCTCAACTGAGGGCTGGAAAGGGTCGATCAGAGGATCGCTCTTGCGAACAGGCGGGAGTGCTGGTTTTTTGCTCTTTGGCTCTGGCTGGCTCATGGATGCTGAACGCGTGAGACCGGGCTGTTGCCGTGAGATTTCTTGCTTTCGCTCAAACTCGGATTGAAACTCCTCTAGCTTCTCTGTGATCAACTTGGCGTCGGTGTCTAACGCTGTGTACGTCTCGGCCCATGTGTTTTGCTGTGCCCCGGGTTGGGGAGACACGCCCCTGCTAGAAACGTTGGGGGAGGGGGTCCGCTGGGAAACGCGCGCAGAGGGTGCGGGCGATGTCCTCGAAGACGAAGAGACGCCAGGATGCGGTGACATTAACGGCGGACTTTCTCCAGTCCATGACGCCGGCGACCGATCCTGAGTAGGGCGCGGCGAGATGGGAACATTCCAGATGACAGCGTCTTCAGGGAGCTCATCGTCTTCATCGTCGCACTCTGCCTCCCTTTCTTTTACAGTTTTTCTTTTAGAGTCCTGCCACGACTGCCTCCTGGAGCCCAAGCCCGGGGACGGCAAGACATCGTTCCGCGAGCTCTTGCGAGATAATGTGCGGGGTCCCGAAGCAGACTTGTGTGTGTTTGAGGGAGATGGCGAGCGCGAGGAGCGCTGGGGCGCGGCAAGGCTCAGGCTGGAGAGCGAGGGGACAGAGGGCGAGGTGAAGCCTCTTCTGGCCTGCTTGCCGGGGGCGGAGAGCTGGGCCTGCTGGCGGACGGCGTGGTTGACCTGGCCCTTGAGGCTCGGGTACTTTTGCTTGGTGGCCCCCGTCAGGTCGCGGAAAGAGTGGGCCGAGTGCGAGTGCGGGAGGCTCCTGGTGGACAGCGAGGCGCGCGGGGCTTCGAAGAGGACGCGATTAGACGGGCTCGCCGGCACGGGGAAGGAGGAGGGCCCACCTGATGCTTCGTCGAGGTTGATGTCCTCAAAGTGCGAGAGGTTCTCCGTCGTGCCCATGAAGTCTAGCAGCGTGGACGAGTGGATGCTGGACGACTTGGACGACTTTGAGTTTGTGAGGTCCGGCGGGCTGCCGGGCGGAGCGCCAAACGTTTGCTGGGCATCGTGGGCGTAGGTGAGGGTGGCCATGAGCGGTCGGGGCGGTCGTCGCTGGGTGTCGATGCGGAGTGGTGTGCCAATGCGGTGAGGCAGTCTGTCGTGGTTCGCCCAGCTGTCGTCGCGGTCGCAAGGGGCTTTGATTAATGAGGGCACATAGCTATGCGCAGAAATAATGTACAGCGACTTGGCCTGCGGGATGTAGTGCACGTCGGCGTCGCAGTCTTCGCTATCACCCGCTTCGTAGACAGGAGGCAGTCGCTGGTGATGCTGCACCGCCGGCATCTTGGTCGATTCGGCGACGCAATTTGCGGAACTCGCGCTAGCCCCTGATGTCGGGGGACAGGGATGGACTCCAGTGGTGGGCCTCGCAGTGCTCTGGACCCGTCAGCGGCGCAAGATGCCTTGGTCGAGTTTAATTGCAAGCAGCCGTCGGTTCTACGTTGGGAATGGGATCGGGCATGGGAGCAGAGGGCGAGGTTCTGGCGATATGTGAGATGCAATCGTGCTTGAAACCGCAAAACCAATACGGCGCCGACTGAGGCAGGTATGCTTCTCCAGCCCGACCCTGGTTCAATGCGCCTAGCCAGGCGTTTTGCGACGCTGTCCCTCTGCTGAGAGCCTGCATAGTCGACCCCGGCTTCTTTGGGATGGGGTTGGTGTCCCAGCCGTCGCATCTACGCTTGACATCACGATACCAGCGCCGGCGGGCCAATCGCGTGCCGTCGAGGGCTGTCGCCTGCTCGACGCGAGGCTTATCAGGAGCAAGTAGTGGTCCGCCTATACACTACCGCGCCTTGCCTCAGTACTACCAGCGCTGCAATATGCAAGAAAAAGACAAAACGACATCATCCTCTCTGCAGTCCTTCCGTCACTCCCGACCGCGCTGCAGCCAAGGCCCAAGGCTTGCAGTCGTGCCCACATGCCGCCGCTAGACGTGGGCGCTCGGCGTGGGCCCCCGGCCACAGATCCTTAGTGCTTTTCCCGAGTTCCTATCCCGTCACCACACTCGCATCCACACTTGCACCTCCCAACATCTTCGCTATATGCCTAGCCACTGCATTATCGCTGGAACCCGCTTTTGCTAGCGTGTTAAGCTTTCAGTGCCAAGTTATTGCCTCCTCCAGCATGCGTCGCTCCGCCATGTCAGACATGCGCGCTGCCGAGAGACATGTCTGCAGCCAGGCTAGCAGCGCGCGGTGCTGCGTCTGCTTGCGCTGAAACACCGTCTGAAAAGCTTTACAAGCCAGCCTATCCCTTCAATTAGCATTTGTTGGAAACCGGTAATACGAGCCCCGCCATGTCATCTTGCAAACCGTGGAGGCGATCTAGCCAAATCGCAGATCGTGCATCCACTTGCTGTGCAACACGGAAGCTTAGCCACACGTACCACTGAAGCTGCCGCCGCGAGATGACGCCCTGCACAATCTTTGCCTCTCTGCTGCCGCGCGAGCGTGAACGGCGCTGTAGCATCACATGGGCTAGTGCAATCATGTTGTCTACCGTCTCTGCAGTTCCCTCCGTCAGCAATTTCCTTCGCTAGCGTAGCCGGCGCAATCACGATCGCTCGTGGCGTGTGCCGTGCTCGCTTTCGTGCTATCAGACCATCATTCATTACCACGCCCACCCTCCCACGGGACAACCCCGCACGAGCATCGATGGATTGGGCGTTGGAATCTTCGCAACGGGAAAGTTTAGACGTACTGATAAGCAGATTCGAACACGTCGTTCGCACCTTGGATAGCGCGCGTGCGTACTCGAGGCACCTCACCGCCGCTTCAAGAAAGCTTTGATGCAAATTCGCTAGTACCGTTGCCACGCTGTTCAACGATGGATCGATCAACATGGCCTTGAGCTGGATCTTGAATCCGCTATCATAAATCAGTAAATTGTCGGACTTTTCACCCCGTCCATAACCCGATTGGTCGGCGGTGCATACCGCGATCTTCGAGACTTACTTCAGAGCTTTGCGATGGAACGTTTGGCCAGGCATTCTGGTCAGATCTACAGTCAAAGAGTCCTCAACACCTGGTGCGGTTAGCATTTGAAGTCGCGAATAGACATTGTGCGCGCAATGCCACCTACCGGTCTTTGTAGGGCGTTCTGTTTTCTTGCTGACTTCCAGCGTCGTCGTATCGATACAGACGCCGCAATACGGGAATCTACCATCTGAGCCGCTTGTCGCTATCCGGTCTCCTCCTTCTGTCGTGACATCGAAGTTTGCCATCGACTTTGAAGGCTTTATCACCACGCCGTATTCCGGGTGGCCTTTGTGCATAACGCTTACGAAGCGCTGAGCATACTCTTCGTTGATACTGATCAAGAGGAAATCGTCAAGCAGACGAAGAAGCAATGAATCTTCATCAAGCACAAATCCAAGCACATCGCGTTCCAGTTGAGCGTAGAAGAAGTTGCACAAGATGCTCGATAAAACTGAGCCCTGTGGTATACCAGTCTTCTGGCGATAGAAGCGCTTCCCGATTCTAACGACATTTCTCTCGATATGCTCCTGTAAGAGCTGCATCAAGTCATCCTTGGTCTCGCGCCGCTGCATGTTGGTATTAACAAAGATGGTATTGGCCTTTGTGCCCGCCAATCTATCTTGCACGAGTTGGTGAAAAGGCGTTACACCCGTCGCTGCCTCAGTATGCGGTATGTACTTCTTGAGAGGCATTGGGTCCACATGTTTACCGCCGAGACGCTGTAGAGGACCCAGGGGGGAAATCTCCACATGTTTGCCGGTGTTGTAAGCCTGGATCGACATGAGACTGTCGATCATACGCAGCAAGCGTGACTGTGGTATAGTGTCGAAGCAAGCCTGAACATCAACCTTAGCAAAATAAAGCCGAATGTCGCCGAGTCCCCGCTGTCGCAACGATGCTTTGAAAGATGCAAGCTTGGGAAGCATATCCCCGACGGAGAAAAGTGAGCAGCCGAATTTATCGGGACGCAACGACTGCTGCAAATTAGCCATAGTGAATCCGTCAACTCGAGCGACTACTGACCTTCTCGTAGGTGATCGCATTGAAAGCTGGTGTCATCACCGAGTTGATACTTCGTCCTAGAGTTATAGTACCATATCGCATCACCTGCTGTCTTCTCTTGAGATTCATGATAGTCCGGAAACCCTGCTTCTTCGGAAGAAGACGGACATTACTGAAGCCGAGCTGACGTGCGGACAGCAGTCTTTCCGTGCTTTCAGTAGGCATCTCCTCGAACATGTTCATCCGCAGTTCCTTCAAAGCGGGCTCTGTTAACATCCGCCAGATATCATGGCGGAAGTAGAAAAGTCTGTTCCGATGCGCGTTGGACTCCGTTACGTGGAAGTTTGTGCGGACCAGAGGAACGAGGAAAGAATCGAAGAGCCAGTAGACGAACTCGAGAAATATCTCCGTACGTTTATCCATGTCCGACTTGGACACCTTTGTATCGTCATCTTGGCTGGGTGGGCGTAACCAGGCTATGTTCGTGATCTATGATCTCTTAGCATACCTCTATGCTCAGTGAAGGGAAATACGTACCTGTATGTTCTGTGTAACCTGATGTAAATTAAGCGATTCGAATCTGCGTATGTCCACGAACTGGTCCACCCAATACATGAGGGTGCGATGGTTATGCTCGTTGCCCCAGAATCTTTCCGGTATAACTTTGGATATGACTGCGCGACAAAAGGCCGATACGTGTGCTGCTGGACACGCCAGATCTGTGAAACAGGTTTCTTGAACGGTGGGATTTCCAGGAGTAGGTCGCGCTTTCTTGCGACGATTGACTGGATCTGCGACTGATCGTACATCTGCCTTCGGCTGTAGTGCGCTCTTCCTCCAATCTGGCTTCGTTGACACGGGTACCCCCTATCTGAGTTAGCAGACTTTCCTATTCATGTCATGGAGAAGAGTACCTCGATTGGACAGTAGTGGCGCAGCATCTCTATATACGAGCACCGCTGGTTGCGGACCCGAAGTTTGTCCACCAGTTTAACAGCGTCACCCCGGAGTCTCTTGGGAATTCGCTGTTTCCACTTAGCTATTTCCTGGGCGTCTGTTGCTTTGGGGCCTAGCTCTCGGCACATGGCGGTATGTATATCCTTCTCGCGCAGCGTGTAGTCTTTGAACGGCATGGCTGTCTCACGATGATCCACCTTGGAAGAGAAGACGTTGTGCAAACCGAACTGACACGGGAAGATATACCGCATGACATGCACTGTCTCTTGCTTGTCTTTTCGATCAGTGCATCGATTGAGAACATCTATGAATGGTTAGCTCCAACAAAGCACTCGAAGAACAGTGACAACGCACGAATATGGCGCATGCCAAATCTCACACCACCTTTCGCGTTGAGCGCTGCTTTCGCATACAGCATGCGACTGCGTACAAATGTAATAGCACCAGGCTTTTTGCTTTCAATCTTGAGCTGTGAAGATTTGGTGAGCGCTTGCTTATCCGCGTTGACTCTTGCGATGTTGCTCTTCTGAGGTTCATCCAATTTCACCTCATGCACAGGAACCCCAGAGAGCTGATAGTAGTTGCCCATATCAGCACTGACCAAGATGAATATGGAGCACTCCAGAAGCATGTCCATTATAATGCGGTCGCCGCCCTGGCCGAGCAATGCGTGCAATCGGCACCATACTGGCTCTTTCAACGTCCTCGCGTAGCTATTAGGTAGGCGTTCTTGCAGACCAGGAATAGATGAACTTGGATTCTCGCTGTTCCCTTGTAGACGACGATTGCTGCCTGCAGCTCTTTGAAAGCCATGGCAGAGTAAGTGTGCTGGTTTGTGAGATGTTGAACGCTTGAATAAGCGCCATATCACGAAATCAACAATCTGGATATACTTAGTCGTAGCTCTTTGAGCGGAACACTATGAAGAGGCGATGCTTCGTATGACCTACCTCGGATTGCCTGTAGTATCCCGGCTTGAAGGTACCGCCCGGAGTGCTTTGCGATCGTTGCTGGGTAAATGCTTCGATATCCTTTTCACGCTCCTCACTGAAACTCGTTGTTTTGTCCTTTTCTGGTAGAACGCCTGAAGTGCATACTAATGCTGAGTCGAGCAACTGCACAACGGCATTGTCAAGGTCGTCCGCGGTGTTTTTGTCTCCAGCCGGTATGGCATGTCCAAGTTGCGAAAGCTTTCGGTACCTGTTTTTCGACGAGCTTGGGAGCCGAGAGAGCAGATACTGGCGCAGAGTAAGGACTTCGGGATAGAGGCGTTGTAGGACTGGATGAGTAGCATTAACAGTGGTGGCCTTGGTGGATTGGCCATCGGCGCCCTTTGCTTTCTTGCGGCCGCCCGCACAGCTATGGGCGCTACGTTTTCTCTTCATGCCGTTATAGGCGCATGCATTGCATGCGTAGGCGCGTTGTTTGAGGCTTGTGGTGTGGGGGTGGAGCTCGTGAGGCGTGTCAATGGGGTTAGCGCTGACGCGACCGCACGCGTCGTCGCGTGACTCGAACATGGAGTCGCATCAATCCTTGTCACAACTCGCGTACAGTCACCCAACAGCGTAGTTCATACTGGATCGAAGTATGAGATCATTACGAGCAAGTTAAGCTAAGCAACATGGTCTCATTTCATGATCGCATTCTACCTATGTACTTTCCTAGAGTACTCAGGCGTCGGACGTGAGCATGTGGGTTTGGTCAGCATCCGGTACTGCACGGTTATTGTCCAAAGACCAAAATATCAATCCGAGTCTTTCTCTATCCGCGTTCGCTAAGCTCAGTTTACCTTACAGGTCTAAGCACCTCCCAATCCCCCATATTACGCATATCGTCCGGCTCATCGTCCATCAAATTCCTCCTACTGCTCCCACCACTTCCTGTGCGCGGCGGCAATGCCGGCTTGTCACCGTCATCATCAATAAGATTTTGCACTGGTTTCCTGGTCAGATGAGGAGGCGGCGCCATTGAGCGTCTGGTTGAATGCGGAGGATATGCCCTCGATTCTTCTTCCGGGGGATCATCACGGTAACGTTGTGGAGGGGGTGCGAAGGTTGGTCCTGGAGAAGAACCTTTAGAAAGGAGAGCGGGTTTCTTGTTGGGGATTGGTGGTGGTGCTGGTTTGCGGAGGACTTGTGGTTTACTGGAGGATTGTGTCTGGGGCAGCGTATTTGATGCGCGGTAAGGTAGGCTGCTGGGAAGGGAGTGTGTAGACGCGCTTGAGCCGCTGCGGCGGAGGTCGCTGAGCGAATCTCGCGTACCGTCTGAACCGAGGATTTGAGTGGCATGACCCGGATACAACGGAGCGATCATCTTACGAGCCGCGGGCTTCTGCGTTGGTGGTAAACTGGTCGAGGGGCCGTTGAAGTCGACTGTGCGTGCTCTCTGTGAGCCGCGTGCTGGTGGTGGCTCGGGTCTGCGACTGCTCGGCATATGCCGAACATCTATCCAGTCTGGCTCTGGACTAGGCGTAAACGGATTGCTGGGTCGATTCGGGTTTGGAAAGTGGTTATTAGATGGCGGTTCCACGCGTGCTTTCGCTGGTAAACCTATTGAATATGAGTATCCAAGCTATAGCGGGAAAGATGATAAAAGTACCGTTGTCGAGCCACCACTTCCTCCGATCTGAGCTTGCAGGTGGCAATCCTGGCTCAATGCTATCGTACCCAAGCAGATCTTCGTCGTCCGTCTCATCATCACCCAGACGGCCTGCCGCGTGGGTATCGCCAACCACTTCTCTTCGTTGTTTGTACAAAGTAGCCTTCATGGCATCCTTCTTCTTTTCATCGACCCTTTGGACCAGTATCTGGAACGTAGCATAGACCGGTCGGTGGTCAGAGAAACGAAGTGGTGCATCGTTGTAGTGGATTTGTCGGATGTTATCACCCTTGCGAAGTACACGATCACACCAAGCGGGAATGCGCGCTTTCTCGGATGTATCGTATTGGTTACTGTTGAGATCGTACTTGTAAGTCGGCGGGAAAGTGATGCGGGCCTCGGAGTAGTACGGAAAGGTCAAGCCAGCTACCATCTGCAGATTAAGCTGCTTTTGGTTAGCTATGGTCCATGCAAGTAAAACATGACTATTTACCTGGTCGTTGTCGTACAAGGTCTCGAGGTCACCAACATGGCACAACCGTTGCACCTTCTCATTATTCAAGCCAATCCGGTAGTTGAAGTCGCCGAGCCATATTACAGTGTCATGGTCTTCAATTGATCGGTTCCTTTGAAAGCGTAGGCCATGGCTGATAGTCTTATAGTCGCGGTTGCGCTCTTCGTAATTGGCAAAACCAGCCGCAAGATGGGCCGTGACGAGGCAAATTGAAGTATTGGCATACTCGAATCGAATAGCTACGGCTCCTTTGTTGCCAGCCATACCCGACATGCCAGTCTAGAGCATATGTTAGCGGAATATGTCAGATGTTGAAAATTGCTGTCATACCTTCTTCAGAGCGCCTTCGACGTTCTTGATATGTGTAAGGCAGTCGGCCCGGACAAAGACCGACAAACTCGCGCCCACTAACTGGCCACCTCTTAGAATAACATACTCGTCTTTTCTGTGCTTCTCGGCATTCTTGTTGAGACACATTCTGACAGCTTCCTCCCAAGCCTCGCGTCTGTCTGGGTCTGTCGACATGATTTGTTGAGGGCTTAATTCGACAATCTCTTGAAAGCCTACAGCTACTATTTCGGGGCACTGTTGTGATGGATCGACATCCGGGCATAGCCAGGGCGAAAGATCGCTCTTTATGCCACTCGTTTTTCCGTTCAAGTTGAATGTACCGACAAGAATATTGATCATCTCGGTCTCTGAATACTCCGCAGATCGTCGCGCAAGCTCTGCGACCACATAGTCGTTGAGCGGGTCATAGAGATGCACTGGAACCTGGCCAATCAGTCTTCCAAGGAGCATGTCGATGGTGTTCTGTCGCCCTTTATCCGCAAAGTTGTTAATGTACATTCGGGTGGCGCTCTTACGAGCGTCTGCCAGAGCACCAGCAAGCGACATCTTTCCAGATCGCGTAAATGAGGACTTCAGCGCTCCAGTTCCCGCATAGATCTTTGAAAGAGCATCGCCATTGTCTGCCCACATACTTGAATGTCTGACCCAGAAGTCCTGACTGGCTCGAAGGCCTTTGTGGCTCAAAAAGATTTCGAGTGCCATCTTGCTGATGATGGTTTGCACGAGGTTTGTTCGATCGAGGCAATCCAAGCAGTTTGTTCGGAAGACCCCCTCCTGCTGCAGTATGCTCATCGTCCGGCGGACAGCGTAGTCTTCTCCATTGTGTCTGGCCACTTCCTCCACATCTTCAGAGAGATAGTACCCGAATCCTTCAGCAGAACCTTGGATCCACTGAGCAATCATGCTAGCCATCTCATAGCCACCGGGTCCTCGTGTCTCGGCATGGAAGTCATATTCCGTAAGCTTGATGAGGTCATGCTGTCGGTCGTTAAGATTGCTTCCTTGGTTCAACGGACTATTCCTGATATGCCCGCGATATCTATGCGTCAACTCTAACTCGTTTTGTTTTTCGTTGCTCAGCAGGTTTACAACATGAGTTGTGCCATAGCTAAGTTCCAGATTATCAAAGTGCCTGTCAAAGGCGGGCTGTGTAGCTTCCGGCGACCGGGTGATGGTAATCTTTTGTTGGTTTGGGAGGAGACCAGCCTGCTGCTCCCAGAAGATGGGTACACTTCCTCGCACCTGCACATAAGAGAAGCAAGCTCCCGACGGCGCCCAGTATATTGTTTCGCTTTCCACAAAGTTTGCGACATTCCCATCATCATCGATACCTCGCGAGTTGAACCTTGTGCCCGCCCGCTTGCAGGATAATCTTGAGATGAGCGTCATGGACGACGGCATGCCTGAATCCTGTACCCTGATGGGGGCCGAAGACTTGGGAATCGTAATGGTGAGTGCGAAACCGCGGATGGCAGATGTCAAGATCCCCGAAGCATCCAAAGCGTCCTTCTCCCTCGGCGCAAGGCGGCTCCTAAAGTCCACCAGTGGCTGGATCATGTATGAGTTCCATAGAAAGCCAGCGTCTAGACTGTCGATAGAAACGGTTGCGGCATCGGTTGTACGGTCTTGTAAGCGTCTGGTGAGGTCAAAGTCTGAGCTGTAATAGAAGGTTCCACTGCTGAGTATCTTCTTGAGCGCCAGACACGGGTGTTCCATGGGCGATTGCTCCTTCCTGCCACCGAAGCCCATCTCATATCCTTCGTCATCGATTGTATCCGTGGGGTAGGGATTGACTTCATCGTTGAGCAGGGTATCGTAGCTTGTGCTGGTCAGGCAGTAGAAGCCGACCGAGTATATCCTCTGCACCGTCTCGCCAGGCCGTACTGTCGCCACCTTGCTCGCGCCATTGACGACGACCAGGAAGACATCGCTGTTGACGGTGATCAAGCCCAGTGTGCCGTGTACGTTGACCGAATGCAGCGCGCGGTAGTCTTCTAGATCGATTTCCTCCAGCCGGGTGAACTCGACCATGCAGCGCGCGACGCCGGCGCCATTGCTCCCCAGTGACGTGGACGAGGCATTGGGGTTCCCCGACTGTTCGGTGGTGGACGAGCTGTGTCGGAGGACGAGGGCGTGGGTCGAGGTCGCGAGGGCGATTGCGCGGTGTGGGTAATCTTTGATCAGGACACGGATAGACATGGTCGGAGGTGGACGGGGGCGGAGGAGGAATGCGCGGGTGCTTCGATCATGCTCGGGGTTCTGCTACACGTCAAGGCAGTCAAAGCGTTTGCGCAAGTATGACGGTCGCGGCAAGTAAGCACGTGTGCTTTGGCGGTTGCTCTCAGCGCGCAGGATTATGTTGGCCTGGATGCTGATCGCAACCCTAGATGTACACCACGCGACTGGTGCCCGATGCTTTACAAGGCTGCCCTGACCATCGCTTAGGCGTACGCCGGCAGCCAGAACTCGACACTTGGGCTGAGAAACATGTGGAGCTTATTCACTCCGTCTCGGAAAGTGCGGCGCGACGTCTTTGCTGGTTCGTGCATCGCGTCCAGGTGCAACATAACTCACTAGTGACCTCATAGCACGAGCAGTTGAACATGAAAGTAAATTAGTTTGGATAAAAAGCTATAGACAACCGCACCATAACTATGAACAGATGCTGCAAGTCCTTCAAGACATAAGTAGTGATATCAATCGTAAGCCAACAAAAACGTGGTTCCCAAACAGACACTCATCTCTGCCTGTACGCAACTCTGGTGTTAGTTTCCGTGTAGCTGCCCCTGGGGTCTTCATAGCCGCCCCGACTGCGGCTGCGCTGTCTGCTCCTGTCGCGTCTCTGGTATCTTTCATAATGGTCGCTCTCGCTCGATGCCGGTTCCACGTATCTGTAATGCTCGTAGCGAGGGTTCTCTGGACTGTAGTTGCGTTCGCGCTCACGCCTGACCTCTCGCTCTGTATACACATACTCGCTGCGGCTAGGGCTCGATGAACGAGAACTCATGCTAGACCTGGGCGAGACTTCGACGTAGTGCGCACCGCCATGGCGTGACTGGGTGTGGTGCGAATGGTGAGAAGAGATGTGGCTAGGCGGTGGAGGTGGAGCCGGCATGGGCGCCGGGGGAGGAGGCTGCACGAACACAGGCACAGGCTGCGGTGCGGGAATCTGGAGAGGCTTCGGCGAGGGCACCGCGACGTAGGATGCTGAGGGCCGTGGAGAAGCCTCGTGCACAATCTCGGTGCGCGAATAGCGGCGCTCGATGTCGCGCGATTGGCGTGATGCGCGGCGACGGGGCGGGGAGCGGTTCCGCTGGACGACGCGGTAAGGGACGATGTGGTCCTCTTCCGGCTTGACTTTGACCAGACACATGGCGCTTTCACCCTCGGCAGGGTATGCAGTGACAGCGAGGCCTCAAAAAGTGGGAAACTGCGACTGCGATCGCGATGTGATTCGCGCGACGATCAACGTGGGGTTCGATCGAGGGCGGGACGGGGCGCACCACGACTGAGTGAGAGGCTCAGCGAGCGCAACGAGAGCTGGAGAAGATGGGTAGACAGGCGCAAAATGAGCGGCACACGAAAAAGACATCAGAGGGTATGTATATGTCCTACAGATCGGGCAGCCGGTGCCCAGCCACACAGCTGACCCCCATGTCGATTCCATGCTGCTCCGCCTTGGAACTCAGCATGCGAGTGTGACGATGGGGTCTGGGCTTTTCTGACAGCTGAGTCTAGCGTCCTGGTCACCCTGGTTAGCCTCAGGTACGGACGGAACCGCCAATGTCAACAAGCAGGGCAGAGTATATGAACATAATATTGCAATAGCCGTCTACACTCGTGATTATCATGCTGCATTTCACATACGACCATCAGACATGCCGCCAGTTTTCCCGTCCCGAAATATCATACAGCCTTCACATACGCTGTTCACTCTTCCACAGGTGCCGTGCGACTGCCCGGCATGCTACCTCGCTCTCAGGGTCCCTAGCTAGTTTCCCGGTGTGTTACTTTCTAGTATACATGGGAGTCTCTGGGCGGGCCGGGCGGTGTAGGCTTCCTATTTCACTTCCTAATCAAGGTGCTTGCTGAAGTTAGGCCATGTCTACCACTAGTCGTCCATGGGCTTGTCTTCCAGTGTGACACCTCTTGGCGCTGCTGTGTCGTCACTCCTCAAGCTGCCGGTAGAGTCCCGATTGCCCCTCGTCAAGCTGCCTGCGTGTTTCCGTGGGAAAGGCACCCGGGTACTTGATGGCGCTGGGTGCTCGGCGGGAGCAGGAACAGGAACAGAAACAGTTGCAGGCTCTGTTGTACCATTAGTGGTTGCAGTGACTTCTTCGTTGGTAGGGCTGTCGTCGCTTCCAGGTACTTCAAGAGAACCACGATCTCCCTTGCTCCTTCGCGTTTCGGTTGGTGACGATGTGTTCACGGGAAATCGAGTCTGACTTCGGTCACGACGATGCGAGCCGGAGACACGCGAACCAGGTGCTGGTGATACCGCACGAGGAGAGCGTTGAGCTGCGATGGCTCGTTGGCGCTCTTCCATGTTTGCTCGTCGGTTACTTTCATCCGTCGAGATCGCGCGTGGGCGCTGTGCGCCCGAGGCTGAGTGTGTGAGCGTGCTCGCGCGCTTCAACTCTCCAAAAATGGCATCCTTGTGCGCAAAAAGGTCACGGACGAGGCGGTAGCTGTAACGCTCGTTCATCGTCAAACTCGATTCTTGCCTTGGCCTCAGGATGCATGGCGCGAGTGCATTGGCCAGTGCTGTAACATAAGTCTCGTCGGCCGATGTCAACTCAATGAGACGAGTGAAGTGTGTGCAGATCGCGTCGAGCGTTGCGATGTTAGCGAGGCGGAGTTGGCCAAGGGTAGATTGCAGAACAGAGACCCGAGTCTCTTCGGAGACATCTGTAGCGGTGGTGCTGTAGATGGTCTTGACAATCTCGTAGACGTGAGAAGAAACCAGTGAGTCTGTTGCAATTAGCAAAGGATCTGATGATGCAGAGTTGACACCTACCAGGAAGTTCCAACAGGTAGAGTTTGAGGACGCTCGCAACAATCGGTACATCGTACTTCTCGAGTAGTTCATCTGGGAACCTCTTTCCAGTATTGATCTCAGCTCGGAGGGTGTGAGTCTGCGCCAGAGGAACATCAACGAGCCAGATGCCACGGCGGGCTTCGTCACCCTCCAAGTCGGGGTAGTGGTTATCTAGGAAGGTGAGAACTGTCGTAATGAGTACCGGAACACGCTTCTTGTCTGAGCGAGCCCGAGCCTCCAAATCTACACCGAATGTTTGTTCTGTGATTGTTAGTATATAGTTGCATCTCGATATATATCGTGACGTACCGTCTACTGAGTTGTAGTAATTCTCATAAGTCGTGACTCTAGGCACGAATGGCCCTGTCCTGTAGTTCTCGAGCATGTATCGGAGATCGCCTAGGGGCTGAACTGTCTCCTGGAACAGCATCATCTTGTCGACTGTGCTCTGCAGACTGGGGATGACGTTGCTGACGGCGCCAGAGAAATCCAAGATGACTGCCTTGATGGCCTTCAGCCTGTCCAATTCGCAGCGCTCCATGAATTTGAGATGGTCCACCATGGCCTCTTCCAGATTGCATCGTAGCGAGTCAAGCTTCTTGACTGATGCCTTGTAGCGCTCATCGGACTCGTGTGCCTCCCGCCTGAGCCTCTCTGCTGGTGTCTCATTCGGGTACTGGTTGTTGAGCGGGTTCCACCCCTGGAGGTATTCCTGCACGGTCGAGACGGGCGAGTCCACGGCAATGCTGTCGGCTGAGGAGCTAGACATAGCGGTAGAAGAGCGGGCGAGAGGCTGCTTCTTCTCAGGCAGTCCGGTCACCTGGAACGTCTTGGGCTTCCACTGGTAGTTCATGCGGGAGCTGTTGGCGAATGTGTTTCCCACGTTTCCCACTAGGCGCAGAAAGCCGTGTGCTACCAGGTCTTGACCAATGCGCTCGGCATAGCTCACGGTGGTTGCTGCCATGTGCTTCTGGATGTATTCGGTGATATCGGCACCGCTTGAGCAGTTCTGGTAGGTACCGAGAATGGGAACCTTGACCTCAGCAATCTTGATGTTGTCCAGCATGTGCGTGAGGATCTTCTTGATCTGGTCAGGCTGGTACGTCTCGTCACCAAGATCAATGGGTTCCTCTTCTTCATTTTCCGGCTCCGACATCTTTATGGTGGGCACCTTCATCTTGGGGCTCTGTGCGGCCTCGCTCTGGGGGTCCTGGAAAGCAAGCTTGTCCTCCTCCTCCAGGTCTTCGACGAGCCGGCACTTGTTGTAGTATTGCGATCGGTACTTGCGGACAGCATCGGCCTGTCGGTCGTGGATCTTGATGCGCGATTGGAGGTCGTCCTGGGAGTTCTGCACGCGGGCGGCATGCGCTTCGCACCAGCGACCGAACGGGTTCACGACAAGTTCGCGGATGTTGGACGCAATCTTCTTGTGGTTTGCGGCCGCAGCCTCCATCTCGGTGCGCACGCCCTCGTAGGCCTAGTACCAGTTAGCCTGGAGGTATCGCCGTGTCTCGTGCTCACGCACCTTGCGCACGCTTGCGCCCTCATCTCTGCTAAAGCCCCCGCCTATGCGATCTGTGGCTGGTGTAATCGAGGACAGGCTGTTTCCGTAGGCCTCCTCGGCATCGGCTCGCATGCGGGCCACGGTCAGAATCTGCTGGTTCTCCTGCACGCCCTGCTGCAGCTTGCCAAAGAGGACGCCCAAGCCTGCGAGAGTTAGCCCGGGCGGGGTGGTGTTGGGTGCGCCTGCAGCTTACCTCCGGCATAGTCGCTCGACCAAAAAGAGGCCGCAAAGCCCGTCGTCATGACGGCGTGTGAAGTGGGGTATCAAAAAGAAACAACCAAGTTGGGTACTGGTACGGGTGTGGTCGGTCAACGGCCGTAGTGAGCGCGCGGAGAAGTGAGTCTGGGGAACACGCAAGCGCAGGCCCGGTGCTCGAGCGTGGGTGACGTCGCCCTACAAAGAGGCTACTCGCGTAACGGGCAGTGCGTCGTGAGTGGGCGCAGCGCAGTGGTACTCGACACGGGCGGCGGCGGCGGCGTCGGGGAAGCGAGGGCAGTGACTGACTGAGGCACGTCGGTGTCAGGAGGGTTTTGCAGGCCGCAGCTGGGGCACGACTGCAGAAGAGCTGAGAGCTGAACGATGTCTCATGTACCCCTGCATGTGGCCGTTTGTCGTGACAGCCCCGGCACCGTCAGGCAAGCCTACCAATCTTGCGCGCTTCCGACATTTCGCCTTTAGCGGACGATATAAATACCCACGCAATTCACCGACCCCCAAGCGCGGCCCCTGCATACGGTGTGGTAGACTAGTCCGAGCCCGCGCCTACTACCGTCTATGCATCATCGCCAGTCGCTGGGCTAATGCTGTCGCCTGCCAGGTCCCCTAATTCTCCAAGTTACTGCTCCGAACACTGACAGACGCGACGTCTGCGGGGCTCCGTCATCACTGCCTGACTAACCCTGCACGCGGAATAAGCCTTATTACAGGCCCATTCAGGAGAAAGTCAAGTCTCCGCTATTCATTCATCCGTCTTACATACTCTGCGCAAACATACGCCTTGGCCGTCCAGGTCAGCCCCGCCATCAAAACTCACGCCTCGCAGCGGGACCGAGATCTCGCTCGGCAAACGCCCCCGGGTCCACGCACCTCTTTTCCCCATCATGGCTCCAGCTGCCTTTGATGCCAACACACAACTCAACTATGCCCGCCACATCAAGTACTGGCGGCGGAACCTGAAGACTCTGCTGCCGCACTTCTACACCAGCAATGACTCCAACCGCATGCTATTGGCCCTTTTCACCGTGTCCGCTCTCGACATTCTGGGAGATTTAGACGCTGCTTTGTCAGCCGAGGAGCGCCACGGGCACATCGAATGGGTCTACAGCTGCCAACTGCCTGAAGGTGGCTTCCGCCCGTGGCCAGGGTCCAACTACGGCGAGCTCAGAAGTGAAGAAAACAAGAACTGGGACCCTGCCCATGTTCCTGGAACTTTCTTTGCCCTCTTGACGCTGGTCGTGCTGGGGGATGATCTGGAGAGGGTCAAGAGAAAGGAGATCTTGACATGGCTGGTCAAGATGCAGAGACCCGAGGGTAGCTTTGGAGAAACTTTGGGCGATGGCGATGATGTCCATGGCGGCAACGACTCAAGATTCGGCTACATGGCTACAGCTATCAGATGGATACTTCGAGGCAGCCTCGAGGGACCGTGTGAGGGTATTCCAGATATCGATGTTGACAACTTCGTCACGTGTGTCCAACAAGCAGAGTGCTACGATGGAGGCATCTCTGAATCGCCCTACCATGAAGCGCATGCGGGCTTCACCTGCTGCGCCATCGCTGCCCTGGCTTTCTTGGATCGTCTACCCTTACCTCCATCACAAAAGCCGGACGGTGTCATCCGCGGAGTAACCGACGTCCCAAAGACGCTGCACTGGCTCGTCTCACGGCAGACGCTGACTCTAGACGAGGACGACGGCTTGGATACTATGAATGACGAGACAGATACGTCAGAAACCTGCCATGACGCGCATACGTTTGTCAAGCTGGGCGCCTACCCATCAGTACAGGCAAAAACCAACACAAAAGGACGGCCTCACATTCACTTCGAACTCGAGTGGGTTGGAGTGAATGGTCGATGTAACAAGGTAGCAGATACATGCTATGCTTACTGGACCTGCACGCCCTTACAACTCCTCGGTCATCTAGATATTGTCGATCGGCAACCGATCCGGAAGTGGTTACTAGATAAGACGCAACATCTCGTGGGAGGATTCGGCAAAGTCACAGGAGACCCACCCGACATGTATCATTCTTTCCTAGGCCTGATGGTTCTTGCCATGTTTGGAGAGACTGGCCTTCAGGACGTTGACCCGGCTCTGTGTATCACGCACAAGGCGAAGAAGCACCTAGAATCACTTTCGTGGCGGAGGAAGATTCTAGGACTAGACAAAGAATCCAATGGTGCAAATGCTCCCTCACAAGAAAGCATTGGCCTAGCTGGTGAAAGAACGCAGATAGATGCATAGACACATGGGAGTCGCCATACCCAGCGCGCATCACTGTTTCAGGCTGCGAAGGACCTTCCCAGTCATCATGATTCTAGAACAATAAATCTCAATTGATCGGAATGCAATTAGACTGTAATCACATCACGATCCTCCAGGGCTGCCTTCCAGGGTTCATGGTAGTCCCCAGACGGCGTAGCGCCAAAAGACCTCGGCCCCACCTGGACTCCCAGATCCCTGTCGGCCAGGTAATTTTCCCAAACTCCGACACCATTCTCTGCGAACATCTAGCGACAGCAACGAGCCAAATCACGCCAAGCCCCACATTCCAGATTGCACTCAACACAGGCTGCAATCATGAGGAACGCGCCGCCGCCATCGAAGAAGCGCAAAATCGCCGTCGCAGTCCCCGAAAAGATTGAGTTTGACTTTTCGGCGCGCGAAGAATACCTCACCGGGTTCCACAAGCGCAAACTTGCGCGGATAAAGCATGCACAAGAGGAGAACGCGAAGAGGGAGAAGGAGGAGAAGCTGAGGTTTAGGCGCGAGGTAAGCACACGATTGCGACGTTCCATCTCTAAAGTTGCGCGACAAGGACGTTCGTCTTCTGTCACCGGCGCATCTCTGGGTTGTGTTTAGAACAGTACAGAGGCTAACGATACCCTAAAATACAGCTCCGAGAACAGCGCAAAGTTGACCTAGAGAGGCACGTCGAAGAAGTAAACCGACTTGTCAAACAAGCCAACGGCGACCTTGACCTCAGCGAAGCAGGCGAAACATCCGCCAACGACGACGACGACGATGACGATGACGAGGAAGAATTCACAGGCTTCCAAGAACCAGAGCCTATAAACCAGGAAGATGAATACGTCGACGAAGACAAATACACAACCGTCACGATAGAAAGCGTGGGCATATCCAAAGCCGGGTTTTCAACACAGGGACAAGAGGACGAAGAGGCAGCCGCAAAGAGGAAAGCAGACGAGGAGAGGAAAAATGCGGAGGAGGAGAACAAGAAGCGGGTGTGGACAAAGGCGTGGCCGAAGAACAGCGAGAGGCCAAAGAAGAAGAAGAAGAAGTTCAGGTACGAGACCAAGACGGAGAGAAAGGCGGAGCGCATGAAGCAGGGCATGAAGAAGAGGAAGCAGAAGGAGGCTAGGGAGAACAAGTAAACGGGTAGATGTGTTGCTTGTTGGAAAGAAAGCTAGTGACTATACATGTCAAGACAATGATACCCCTTCACGAAGTCAATCGGAACCCCGCATGTTGGTGCGCTGCTCACTTCGTGTACTGCACAAATCTAGCATTATTCCAGTGCATAACTGCAGTGGGTCGTACACCGCTTCTTGCTCAAACCTGGCAAAGCACATGTGAGTACCAAAGACAAATGTGTGTCAGGAACCGCCAACAATGTATTCGCTCAGGGATTATCTAAAGCGAAGGCCCGCCCAGCAAGCAGCCGCAGGAAGGAAACAGATATATAGGGGTTTAGGGTAGGGTAGGGGGTACGGGGGAATGTAATGTGAAATCTGCCTCTTCTCCAAGCTCCACTGCATGCCGTAGTAATCATCCTCCGCCACTACTAACAACCACGGACCGTTCCTCTTGTCGCACGCGCTCGAAATCGGCATCCGCAGAGGGACGATATCGAAGCTCGACTCAGAACTCGACTAGATACAGTCAACAACCGCAAAAGAGAGACGACAGCGAGATCAGATGTTACCGATCTCCTTGACAAAGTCGTCGAGCTCCTTCTTGGTGTCGGCGTATTTCTTGGCCATCTCTTCGTACTTGGTTTCCCACTGGTCGCGGGACTGCTCGAGGGCTTGGACTTTGCGTTCGTAGTGGCCGGACTTGACGTCGGTTTGGCGGAGCCTGGAGGGTGACGTGTCAGTGGCTGCAGATCAGGGGCCGGAAGCGTGGAGGGTAGATAGGAAAGGGGAACAGCAACGGCAGCAGAGGGTGAATGAACGTACTTCTCGTTGAGCTCGCGGATAGTCCTGTCCGATTCCTCAGCTTCTTCCTCGAGAACTTGGATCTTGCGCTGGAGGCTCTCGGCCTGGGTGCCGGCCTGAGCACCTGCACCAGCTTCGTCCTTGTGGACCTTGACTTGCCCCTCAAGCTTCTCCACCTCGCTCTCGAGAACGGAGTTCTTGTGCGTCAGCGACGTGATCTCCTGCTCCTTCTGTGTCGTCTCCGACTCGAGCTGCTTGATCTTGGCCTTGTACTCCTCGGCTTTGGCGCTGCTCTCGTCCGCCTCGACGCGGAGAGCTTCCATGCGCTGTGCAGAATGTCATGTCAGCGGCTGCTTTGGTACGACAGGCGTGCATTGTGGCGTCGGCTGTGGACTGGGTACCAAAGAAAGGGGATTTGGCGGGGTATGCGTGGACTCACCTTCTTGATCTGATCCATAGCTGCGAGAGGTGTGTGGTGCGGGGAACAAGTGTTTGTGTGGTGTTGGCAGGTGAGGAGAGCAAAAGAGCTGCAGCTTATGTAGGGATGTGGTAAGGCGGCGGGTCGGTGGTGCTTTGTTGTAAGAATTGTCTCCTGCAAGCGGATGGGCAAGCTGATAATGCGGGCAGGCGCTACCTCCGCCCGGACCCTGTGCGAAGCCCAGACCCTCTTTGCTGCCGCCCTAGCAACCGGCCGTAAACACTCAACACCCGATAGCGATAGCCACACGACTCGCTCAATGTAACCCCCAGAATGGCTACTCTCGCAGCAAACGACCAGGAGAACGCCGTCCGTCATCTGCACGCGGGTGCGGCGGGAAAGTCGCTCAATGCCGGCCTCAAGGGCTTCAACGCCAAAACACCCGGAAACAAAGCCCCCAAGACGCCTTTCAAGATCCCCCTCAACGACGAAAATGCCGTGGGAAAAGCGGGAAAGTCGGTCCTGCAGACCAAGGGCAAGGGAAACGAGCTCTTCACCACCAACAAGGGCGGCAAGATCGACCAGAATGCCTTTGTGACGCCAGCCGGTAAGAGAAGACATGGCAGACTGCGCAAGACGACAACTGACGTGTTTAGGTCCGCGCACGCGCGCGCCGCTGGGCATGAAGACGACCAACGCGAAATCCAGGCCCTTTGGAACCCCAGCGCCCCTCTCCTCCGCAAAGACGCAGAAGCTCAGCCCTCGCCTGCGCCGCCCCAAAGTCAAGGTCCACCAGCCGGAGGTCGCGCAAGAGTCTGAAGATGACGTGCCTGAGATCGAATACATGCCCCCGAAGGAGGTCCCGCTCGAAGATGACATGGAAGAATACCTACCCAAGAACTGGACCATGCCCAAGCTCAGTAACCAGGACATGGTCCGCGGTATTTGGCAGGCCTACCACAACCCAATTGAGGACGACGGAAGGACGCGTGAGCAGCGCAAGTTCGAGGAGGAGATAGAGCAGGGTCGGAAGAAGCGTGATGAGCAGATGGATAAGATACTCGCGGCGCAGATGGCCAAGGACGATGCGGAGACGAAGGAGTACTACGGTATCAAGGAGCCCAAGAAGGAGGCTCCCAAGGCACCTGCTGCCCTCAGAAAGGCGGCCACCGGACCATCGACCATGCGAGCCAGATCTGCTGCCGCCGCACTCTCTCCACCGTCCAAGCCAAGCTACGCTGCTCCCACTGCAGCTGTGAAGTCGCGTGTACCCACTGGACTAGTCGCCGGCAGGAAGGGAGCAAAGACGCCCACGGAGCTCACAGCATCCCGTCAAGCATCCGCTGCAGCAGCCTCCAAGAGCACCATCGGCTACGCCCAAGGCCGCGCCGGACGCGCAGCCCCAGCTGCACGCAAACCTCTCTCCAACGTCACCAAGCCCGCTCCTTTCTCCGCTGGCCCCCGACCCGCCTCCTCGACGCATATCCGCAGTGCCAGCACAAACACGGGTACCACGCGCGGTCGTGGCCCAGTGTCCCGCTGCAGCTCAACTTCCACCAATGCCACACTTGTCACACCTCCAGAGGAAGAGCAACCCCGCCGCACGGCTGAAGATGTAGAGCGTGAAATGGAGTTGTTGCTTCTGTCACGCTCCGACGACGAGGACGATGATGCGTGGATGAACAGCTTCAACACTCAGCTACACGGTGAAGATCCACTCGATGAAGACCACGATAATTTCCAGCTTCAACTCCCTGAAGGTTTCTAGACCGTTATGAGGTATTTGGAAGTGGTGTATCAAAGTGCCTGCGAATGGCCACTCTGTTCGTCATTGTACTGTTAATGGGTTGCGGAGTACCGGTATTGGATACCTTTTGCTTTTATGCGCGAATGATTATTTGGGTCTACATGCTATCACGGTGGCTTACTGTGCATAATACATAGCATGATTGTACTTGTATTAAACACCACCTGTTTCACTGTCACTACTACACATCAAGTCATATACCACCAACGTAAAATCACCGACAACAGACTATCCATTTGATAATAGCATTTCATTAAGATGTAGCAAACGTCGTCGACCAGAGGAAGCGACCCTTCCCCCAGTCCCACCAACCATTTGCCCCTATCTTTATCAAGCATATAACCAGTCTGCCCTCCCTTCCCCAACCAACCCATCCATCCAGTTTCTCTTTTGGTTCAAGGAAAAGGTTACGCAAAGACAATAGTATGAAGAAAAGACCCCATGTACCCCAGTCCCTACACAAAGGGAGGGGGCCAAGATGCGCGCTTCTGGAAACCAAGAAGGAGGAAAACACCATGAATGCGCCATGCTGCTAGAATCAAGTGAGACTAAGGAAAACGATGACGACCGGTGACTCTGAGCGTCGGTGACTGTCGCGGATGGATACGGATGTTCGTGATATTGTCGTGATAAGAGGACGGATGTGGGGTTTGTGGGATGCAGTATGTGGTTGTGTAGATTAGATTTACTTGCTCTTCCGCTTGCCTGACATGCATGCGTCGGAAAGCGTGGAGTTCAAAGTATGATGAGTTGCTGGACCAGACAGATCAGTCAACGACCTCGTCGACGGCATAGAGATTCTGGTTAAGAATCTTGTTCATGGTGAACATGTGGACGCGGTCTTGTTTGAAGACTGCACGCATGGCGTCGTCGCAGCGGATCTGGCGCCTGTCGTCCGGGTCTTGTAGCTCGCGCTCCTTGACGTACTCCCATATCTTCTTAACGGTCTGGGGGCGCGAGAGCTGGGTTTCGCCGAGGAGTTCGGAGAGGGCTGGGGAGAGAGCCATGGGTTTCTGGGTGTGGTTAGCTTTGGCTTGGGGTGATGATGTAGACTAGATGAGGTTGACTTACATGGAAACCTCCTTTCCGGCTCGGGCTCTTCTTCTCGCCTCCACTACCTGATGCGATGTCGCTGTCGTCTTCATCCTTGATCCTGGTCGAGCTCTTCTTCTTGGTCTTGGCCTTCTTCGGCGCAGCTACTTTCCGCTTTGTGTTCCCGCCGCGTGTCGCCCTACCCATGCGCGCATTCTCCTCAGCCTGTAATCTCGCCGCGAATGCAGCATCGTCATCCTCGTCCTTGACCTTGGTCTTCTTGACCTTCTTCTTAGGAGGCGCAACATCTTCCACCTCAGACAGCGCTGACTCGTCATCGGGCGGCGATCGCTTGTTGTGGGAGACGTCGGAGGTATCGTCATTCGAGGCCTTTGCGCCGTTCTCGACTGTGGGTATAGGTTCAGAAACCTCGGAGCCGCCATTCTGCTCGTTGTTGAACTTGTCGAACCGCTGCATAATGAGCGTGGTGATCTGGTCCTATTTGCGAGTCTCAGTATATGCTGCTGCATGCCATATTGAGCTTCAAACCTTCTGCAGGGAAAGGTCATCCTCGACTCTCTCTTGTAAACCCTTCCGTATGCGCTTTGCGCTGATGGTGTTTATGTCGCTGGCGCGTAGGATCTCGTCGATAATGACCGAGTAGGAAGCTTGTACTTCGGCGGGGAGAGGGTCTGCTGTGACACGTTAGAATGTAGACATACGCGTAGCAGACGGCAAGCGGGCACTTACCTGCCATGGCTGCGATATTTCAAGTCTCGACAGCAAGAAGTTGCAAAGGTAGACGCTGTAGGTAGAGAGGTGGTCGCCGCGGGGAGCAGTCTCCAAACCACAAATTATCGCGGAGCTCCGATGCAGCTGCGATGTTCGTGGTGGCTATGTCGTGCAAAGAACCGCGGTTGGTACCAGGGTCGCGGAACCACCAATGGGACCTAAGATGTG